GCGAGGCGGGGCCTCCCCGGTGTCGCCGGTCATTTGATGCCAGTGCCCGGGTCTCTGGCAGCGAAGGGCTGCAGGGCAGCCCGCGCCCTTTGGTTCAGGAGAGGAGGACGCTGGCCGGCGGCTGCTTTCCGAGCCGTCCCTCCTCAAGGTGAAGGTGAGACGGGGAGGCTTCTCCAAGAGGCGTGTTTCAAAAACAGCCAGGCTTCGGCTGCCGAGCTGTAAAACTCCTTCAAGGAACTCTCCACTGTCATCCAGCCGGCTGAATAAATACCTACAGGCAGAGCGCAGAGGGCAGTTCCACCTGCTAAAGCTCTGTAAGCTGGGTGTCAGAGTGGCGGTGCAGAGAACAGCGGTATAGAAGTGGTCGTTTAATGCGTTGCATGTTCCAGTTTGTTGTGAAGGTCATTGTGTATCTGGAAATATGTTTTATTCTCCTTGTTTCTCCTACTACCTTGCCGCCTTCTAGGTAGTCAAGCCACATACTCCGTTAATTAAGTTCCCAGACAGAAAAAGTAGTCCCAGACCTCAAAGTAAGTATTTTCATCTGTAGACACAACTTGCACCTCCTTTGCTTACATTAACTGCTTTGTGTAAGAACCAGCACACAATTTTTCTGTTTCAGCTATGCAACCTTGCTGATTTTGAGCAGAGTTTCTGAAACATGGTTGGTTTAGTTTGAAGGCAGCTCTTTGACTCTTCTTTTTCAGATGCTGTGCCACTGTGGGAAATACACATGCTACATGCATGTCTTTATTTCTTGTTCAAGGCAGATTCACGAAGATTTCCGGTGTTGTTTTCCTCCACATATATGAAGTCCCATTTTTCTAAATACTAATATTTGCCTGAAATGGTTGTGCCCCCGCCTGTTTGAAGCAGCTTTAGGTATTTGGAGATATTTGCAGAAACGATGTTGCGTTTTCCTCATCTCTTCTTGGAGTGCGCGATGTCTGTGGTATTTAAAAGCATGATTATAGGTGGGAGAGCCATACTACTGTACCTTTTAAGAAGTGTTTTTTTGTGCTATTAACTGAGAAAAAAATAATTTCACTGCAATCTTTAAAATTAATTTTTATACCTATTTCTGTGTCGATATTTATAGGATTTCCAATACTATTGCATTTAAACAGTGATGCTATATGAGCGATACGTTGTTTTAATACTCCTTTTGAGTCAATAAAGCATTTGAAACTAAAGTAGGAGACATCTTAAGAAGCTCTGTTATGTTATTCTCACTTCTTTAGAAATGATATCACACCACTTTATTTGCCACGGATTATCACATCTGTGATTTAGGTTTAAGTTTAGGTTATCTATTAACGTTACGAAGTAGCTACAGTGCACATCAGTGCCACTTCTGACTTAACTGTGAACTTTCAGGAAGTATTTTCTGCAATAACTTTCTGTCAGAAATCTGTATGTTGCGCACAGTTCAGCCGAAGGCACCACCTCTCGTGCCAGTGAACTGCTTTCTCAAAGGCCTGAGAACATGTTACTTACCTCTTGTTTATCTCTGCGTCAGAAGATTTTTGTGGCTGTAATTTTTAAGTACGTTAGACTTTTCTACTTTGATGAGGTTCTGTCATCGCGTTAGTAAATTACAGTCTGCCTCATCTTGCTTGAACGGTGTAGTAATAACTGCGTTTCAGTGTACCAGGATGTTACTTCTGTGTAGCCAAACAGAGCTCCGCAGATCAAGACCAAACTTTTAGGGTGCTTGAAAGGCCAGCCAGATTATTCTGCCGTGTTACTACTGCAACATGATGGTCTCAAAGAGGGAAAGGAAAAATGTAGTAGAGACTGTATCTGAGCTAAAGCAACAGAAGTATTAAGTATGGTACTTTTGTGTCTTGACTGCTGATGTTTTTAATTGGCTAATGTGTCTACTATGCAATAGGGGAAAATCCATGACAAATCTCTAGACATTGGTGTATGAAACAAATCTGGAGAAGCTGTTTCTTGTTTTTCCATATATAAGCTGTGTTATTTCTTGAAACAAAAATACTTTGCCCCCTGTTCAGAATATGCTCCTTTTGATGGGCTCTCTTCCCCCTCGCTCTGTATGAGAGCTTCCGTTGATCCTGAAGCGCCTGATGGACTTGGGACTTTCAGACACAGTCTGCTGACCGAGAACGTCTTGAGTGTGCCTCTCAATGGTGGCTGGTTTATTGTTTTTTGTTTGTTTTTTTTTTTTGTTAACCAGTGGTGGCTTGATCACATTGCTGCAGGTGTTTGATGTCCCAGTCCTGCCATTAACTCAAACTCACTATGGCGAAAACTGGTTCCTCTCCTTTCTCCTCACTGATCTTTTTGGAGGCAGGCAGGCAACTCTGTGGTATTTTAACTCCTTGCGTTCTTTGATTCATCCAGTCTTGATGCTGCTTACTTTATAATTATGCAGTCCCTCTCTTCCAGCTGTTCAGATGTTGCATTTGTCTTGCTCATTTTTCAGGAGCACTGAGAGGGACTTCCCATGGAAGCATTCTGCTTTGTCAGGTGTTTTAACCTCACGTAGAGAGGTCTGAGTGCTTGGGAGGTAAACATGCTGCTGTGAGACTGTCCTGCCTGGTGGGGTGATTGTGTATTTCCATTGTCAGATCAGCAGTGGTGGGACAGACGGACTTTGACAACACTGCCCTTTTGTCATCTCTTCCCCTATCCTCAAACTCAAGGCAACTTCTCTAATGCGAGTTCCTTCAGCCTAGCTGCTGGCCCTCACCTGCAAAGTACTTCACGCACTCCATGGTCTCTGCATTTCATAACATTGATTGCTGATGCCTGATGTTTGGTGGTCATTCTGCACATCATTAACAAAATTTGATACGATGCCATATTAAAAACGGGTACGACACTGCACTGTGTGTTGCGGTGTCTCATGGTTGGGAGCTTTATCCTTCTGTAAGCCTCCACCTCTTTTCAGTTGTCTGGCTTTACAGTCACAGTAAACAAAAAGGCATCATCTCAGTGGGTCTTAGTTATTTATCTTAGTTATCTTTCTACGTAATTGCCTGCACTCACACACAATTATGATACTTTATGCTTTTTTGGTAAGAACAGCTTCCCAGTGAAAAAGCCCTTGTTAGGATACATGCTTACTTCTGCCACTCGAACGTGCTTTCTTTTACTGAATTTTGTCACTATGCTCTTGATACATTTAACAATAAAAACAGGCCGTGAGAAGTGCCAATTCTTTTAAGTATTTGTTGTAGTGAAGAAAACTGTCAATAACTGGTAACTTTTTGGCTGCTTTTTAATTACTTTTACAGTCTTGTTATGTCTCTGTCAATGGTTTTGTAATGTGTGTTTCAGTACAAGAATCTCTACAAGCAAGTGTGACATCTCTCCATGCTTCAGAGGCACAGCAGTCTGTAGGAGGCAGATCACCACCCTTTCAAAATATTTCACCTGTCAGCAGAGTACGAAGCGCACCAGACACTTCTGAATTAGCAAGAACCTTACCTCAGAAATACAGAAGGAAACTCATGTCGGACGAGGAGATTGAATATATTCAAGTAAGTTTCGTTTATTGCTGTGTATTGTCTGTATGTACCTAGCATTTAGCTTTGTTTCTACACCTTCTTCAAAGTCTCAGATACGGTATTGCATTGTAACTGTTGGTAAGGGCGCGCTCCCAGCTTTCATAGCTTTGATACACAACACCCAAGCTACAAATTCTTAATACGCAAGGTACCCAGCTCTGTAATTAATAATTAGTAGCTTGTGATACCCCTGATCAGAGAGATACAGATTTAAAACAGACATGGAGTCAGCTAGCGATAGTTACAGCCTGCGTTAGTCGCCATCACTACCTGTTTTGTAGCAGCTGATTAATATATAATGTGAATGTGCTGGACAGGAGCACGGGAGTCCATTCTCAGACCAGCAAAGGCTATTCACCAGTCCAAAATATTTCTCAAACTAGTTTTTAGAAGTTATATTTATTGGTAAGTTAGCTCTTCTATTTCTAGTAGTGGAAACATTTTATTAAACTTGATAGAAATATTTTCTGCAATAATTGCAAGTATGGTGTTGTACATGAAAGGCAAGAAAAACCTTTTGATCTGTAACAACTCTCAGATGCAAACACTGATGCTTAAAAAGGGAGAATGCACGAGATTTGAAAAACTTGTGAGAAGGATGTGAGTTTGAAACTAAAAGATGCTTACATAGCTTTGTTGAACGACAGGGACTCCTACAGTGTAATCAGATTGGTAGAGGAGATCCGTTTTCCTCCATGTAGATTGGTGGGGTATTATAATTGGAAATAAAATGAGTTATTTGTCATAGTAATACACTTACTGACCTCTACCATAAATTTTGTAGCGGTAAGTTGTGAATTTTGTTGGCAAAATAATGAATTGAATGCCTTTCTGATTTCTGATGAAGATTGCAGTGGCTCGCCTTGGCTTTGTTTTTACTTTGCACTTTGGAATTCGGACAGTGAAAGTAATTCTAAAACTTGTGTTGACCACTGCTGTGTTTATCAGGCCTCTCTAAAGTGGGCAGGAGTCCGGTTTCTTCGGGGTGGGAGAGGTGGCAGCAGCAGTAATTGTAGGTTGCAGGCGTTGACCTTTTTGTATTCTCCCCTGAAAAGAACAGAGCTGCTGCTGGCAGGTGCTGATACTTGACGCTCTGCCTATGTTCTTAGTTAGATTAAAAACCAGTGTGTAAATACGAAGTTACAGCTAGGTCTGTGTCTGTCGGTCGGTAACAGTGCCAAAGGAGATTTCACCTCCATTTCCCGCTCTTTTAGTGGTGTGTATTTAACTGTCTGCTTTTCTTTTACAGCGTGGAGGTCCGGAATAAGTGTGGAAGACAGTTCGTTGGCCACTATTAAAGTATTGTATGCACAATAAAGGTGTTTCCTCAGTACTGAAAATTGTTGTATACCGAGAGCTTCAATAAAAGCCCTGTGAAGGGCGAGGAGGCTGAGACAAAGCACCACGTGTTAATGTGTGACTGAGGAGGAAATTCTGTCGAACAGACGCGATGCTCACACCATTAAAATGTTTCTCTAATTCGCCATTTGCAATCCTGCCAACGGAACGGAAGCCGCTTTATTT